TATCTAACTCAATTATTTGACGGTGATTTTTTATGATAAATTTTACAAAGCACTTCATCGTTACTGCACAGACAACCAAAAAAAGTAAATTCAGTTAAGTTATGTCGATAACCAAATTAACACAATTGAAATATCAAAAATCAAAATAATATATACATTCCATTGCAGCTTCAGTAGGCATTTGGGAAGGATAGTGAAATTGATCATCAAGTACGTATTCTTGCATTAGGTAGTCAGTTTTGAGACTCTTTATTTTATCCTCACTCTTAAGGTAGTAAACCAGAGTATTTTTTCTTCCTATAGGTGTCCCATTTAAGTCTTTAATTATAGCGATCTTGCTGGTCATCCTCCAATAGCCTTTACCTCCCTTTGTACATCTACTAGGCGTTGATCTATTGGCCTTCGGATTTTTTTTTATCTTTTTGTAAAACAGAATGATGGTTCTTCCAAGTTGAAATCTTGCACATACAAAGAATAAATATACATCAGACGTCTGAGTTCCATTTTCACTCCCAATTGGATTACTAGTGGTTCAACGTGTCGTAGCCCGGTCGATCAATTCAGGACTCCGAGATTAGTCGAGGTGTATGTCCTAAAAAAAACGATGACCCGAATACTCGATTATCAAAAAAAAAAAAAAAAACATTTCAATGCAAGATGAAACAATCCAAGTAACATTCTCAGTGCACATAGGGTATGTCTGGTAAAACTTATTATAAGTTGAAAGTTGATAATTAAAAAATAAAATTCAAATAATTATTTTTTTTAGTTTAATTTAACTATTTTTGCCTAGTAAATTGTAAGTTAAAAAAAAATCCAATGAATCTAATCACAAAATATTTATTAAAAAAAATAGGCAAACTGTATGCAAAATAATACAACTATGGATTTAGAATCTGTGTAAATAAAATATTTAAAAAACAATAATATGTTATTTACATTTATAAAAACATCTGGATCCATCTATACGCACATTTTTTTATTATTATAAATTTCTTGTGGTTCAGGTTTAGATTTGTAGCTTTGTTTATTGTATGCTAAAAAGATTAGTTGTCACATTGATGACCACTTGAATTTAATAAATTTAAAAAAAAAAAAAAAAAAGGGAGGAAGTTAACAAGCCAAGTTCGTAAAATTAAAAGAAAATGACAAAACTAAGCATGAGGTTATTATTCTCGTTATGAGTGGGAAAAGAAAAAAAAAAATCATCTTATAACCCTTTTTTTAGGGGGGGGAACTCTATCTATAACAAAATAAATTATGAAATTTTAATTTTATCAATTTAAATCCTAATTTTTTAATTTATTTTCAACCTAAATTATCTGCCTATTTACATTAAGTAAAATAGACAGAAAAAAAATAACATATTAGCCATTAAATTAATAGAGATGTATATAAAATATTTAAAAATATTCTTTTTCATTGAGTTTAAAGATTAAAATACATTTTTTTGTCGGATTTATCCAAAATAGGCATATGATTGTAGATTGAAAATAAATTAACAGATTATGATTTTTTTTTATTAGGGCGGTTACCTTCCCCACCCATTGCAAAGCATTATGTGCTTGTCTCTTTAATTCAACTCCTTTAAGGTGAGTTAAATCCATGATCTCTCCTTAGGAAGTCTTTAGAAAAGTTATGGTAGCCAACTAAATTAGGCGTAATTAGTTTCAAAGATTATAATTTAAATTAATAAAATAAAAAATAAAAAAATTATTTTATTATAAGAATCAAATCTTAAATTTTATTTATAATTTCTCTCCTTTTTTTAATCTCTATCATTCTTCTACCTCTAGCCCTCTCTCTGTAAAGCATTGTCATGGATGAGCGAGCTTTCACTGATTTTAGATTACCACGTTAATTTTATCTTTTAATAAAAAATCACAAGTCACCTTTTTAATTTTAAGAAAGCAAGTTTAGAACTTACTTTTATTCAGATTTAATTATTTTTTTTATTCATAAATTACTTAACTATTTAATTGAGACCAAATGTAAACCGCAGTGGTCAAATTCCTGCTACAACAGTCTAGATCTCTAGAGCAATTTTTCTTGAATTGATCTTAGGTATATTTTTTATATAGTTGTTGCATCATCGATTTTTAATTATTGTACCTTCAATTTTATAACATTAAATCTTAAGGTAATATTACTAATAAAATATTACAAATATAACTTTTGTTGGGAAGTAAGTTGACTTTTTAGTTTTTTAGTTTTAACCTGGGCTAACATATGATTATGGTTGGGATATAAAATTTTATCTTATTGACTTTTTAACTTATTTTATCTTTTTGTAACTAAAATAGTCTCAATCTCACATGCCAAACAAAGCCTGATTAACTGCATAAATATGTTATCTTCGATGATCATATTGTTATTAAAGTGATATTAACCATTAAATAATGATATGCAACATCATATAACACTACTAGAAATATGACTTTTTGCGTCTATTTTTTTTTTGCGATTGATTATAAAAATCACTTTTTACATCAAAAAATCACAAAATCACTTAACCCAATCGTGTTCTTAACTTTAAAAAAAATAAATAAAAAAAAACCCAAATCATGTAAAACTTGACCTGTCACCCCTTTCATTCTTATTTCTCAAATTTGTCTCCAACGATGGTGTATGAACTCTCTCTCTGAAAATCTCTCTTTTGCTCGACTCTCTCTTTGACTCTCCACTCTCTCCCGGTTGAATCTCACTGTCCACTTTCCACTCTCCACTCTCTCTCTTTTGACTCTCATGTGATGAAGATTTGAAGATTTTGATCTGCTATTGATGAAGACTTCAATCGATTCATAATCGCTAAGCCTACTTTCTATGTATGAATCCAACCCTCTGTCTCTCTCTGTAATCTAGAATGTTTGTTTCATGTCTAATTGCTGAATTTCTGTGTTGATTTATTCTAGATTTATGTGTTGATTTCAATTGTTCTTTAGTCTGTGTTATTGATTTATTAGGTGATTCATCTTGTTTTCGATAATTTAAAGTTATACAGATAGATAAAGACATGATTTCAACAATTGATCTTGTTTTTGATAATTTGTTAGCTTATTTCTAGTGTTTTACCAGATTCTATGATTAATATTCATTCACCAAGTCCTTGATGATGGTGCTCAAGGATGTCTTGAGCTTTCCTGCTTGTGCAATTTGTTTCCGGGCTTTTGTTTGATCTTCTTGTACGTATGTTAGGGTCTCAATCCAACTTTTTGCATTAATTGCTTTTGAATTGCAAATTTGTTGTCCTTTCAAATTCTTATTGAGGTTGATCATCTACAAGATGTCCCTAATCCCTACATACAAATCAAAGGAATTAATAAAGAGGTTGTAGCTGCTGCTGGTTCAACGCTTAAGCTAGATGGTTCATATACTACAAAGGTTTTGCCTCTATTTATGCATCTTTGAGTCCATTACGTCTTAATATGGCCTGAATTGATGGCTCACTTTTATACTGTCCTTGTCAAAGTTACCTTCAAATATTTCTGGAAAGATTACCTCTGCTAGAAAGGAGTTCCAGTGGGATTCATACTCAGCAAGCTTCAAGATTGCAGGAACTTGTGAAATTTATACAATCTCAGGTACATAACAAGCATCTGTTTTCTAGAATCCTGAAACATTCTTGATATTCAAAATGCACAGATGTCTAGAATCTGATAGTATGAAAGAGTTTTGAATTTTGTTTGTGACCCAAGAAATCTACAAATCCAAGAAAACCAAAACCTTCTTCGATTCACGATGATCAATGGCACCTGTAATAGAGATCCTTGTTTTCTTATACATTTGTTAGATAGTTTGTGTTGTTTAACAGTTCCATACATGTTTTACTCCTTGTTTGCATTTCTCCAGTGTTGATTGATCTAGATGTCTGTCCCATGTAATCTAAACTCTCATTAAAATCACGGAAGGAGTTCAATTGTAATTTTTAACTCGGAATAAGGTCAAGAACTAAATTTTCCACAATCTTGATACTATCAATACCGAGAAATTCTAGTAGCACACCACACTTTGCCGTAGTATACACCATTTTTCTATTTGGATATCAACTTCCGAACAAAAATTAATTGTTTGGATTTCAACTTCTGAACAAAAGCCTTCTTCAATAATTGATATCTGAATAATTGATGTTTGTTCGGAAGTTGACATCTAAGTAATAAAAATTATGTTGTAGAGAGAGCCACCCATCAATACCATGAAATGATGTATCTGTTGTGGATATATTATGAATTTCAGTGATCATTCGTTACCCAACCCCTGCTCAAGAACTTAATTTTCACTGTTAATATTGCTATTGTTGGGTCTTCTGTTGCTACTAGTACTTATATGTAACAAGATATAGTTCTGTGGCTCTAAATGGTTAGTATTCAGTTGTTTTCTAATAAATAAAATGCCACCTTTGGTTACAATACCCTGGATCCACCTAGAAAAGGGAAATTTTTTTCCCTGAAACCCGCACAAACACATTTTAGAGGTAGGATACTGGGTAGGGTGAATTCAGTTCGGCACAAAAAGTAGAAATAATTAAGTTACTAATATTTTTAAGCAGATATATTCTTGAAGTATTAATGCATGTTAGAGCACGTGTATTAGAAGCCCAATAGTAGCATGGTGATGCATGGGCACAGAAGCAAAGGCTAAGCAAGACAAAATAGTTAGGTTAAGTTGGACCACTGGCTAAACTGAGGTTTCAGTCTTTGTTTGTTCTATGTGCTTTCACCGTTTTTATTTTATTTGAATGCATGATTATTGTGTTTTTACTCTTTCAAGTTTAATGTGACTAGTAAGTATTACGAAGACTTTGAACTAAAAATTTTTTATAATAAGAAATGTTGGGTTGCTGTAGAATAACACTTGCTGGGTTACTTTGAACTAAAAGTGTTCATGGGCCATTGGTTTTATTTGTTGTACTTTTTGAACTATAATATGCACATGTCATTGTGATACTTTGCAAACTCATTCTTTTTATTGATGTGTACAAAAAAAGTTAAAGAAATAGAAAGATGAACAAGAATTGGATTGATTTGCCAAATCGGATGTCAGTTGGTTACGTAAATGGAATTGATAACTTCTTGAGATTTGCATACAACAATAGAGATGAAAGATCATCGATTAGTTGTCCGTGTCAATTTTGTAGTAATCGATACAATTTTTCACTAGAGGTTGTAAATGAGCATCTTATTTCCAATGGGTTCGTAAAAAAGTACAAAAATTGGATTCATTATTGGGAATCCTATGTTCAATTACATGGTAACCAAGAAAACCAAACATTAATGGTGGATTCAGCGACTAGAGATGATGTGATTGGAATGGTACAAGAGGCCTTGGGAATTCCATATATGGGTGTTGAGAATGATGAACCAACTACAAGTGATCCAGCCCAAGCAGGGGTAAGTGATCCAAACCATGTGGAAGAAGATGATTCGGTTCGAATAGGGGCAAATGACGAAACTTTGAAATATTTTAAACTTTTGGAAGATGCACAAACTGATCTATACCTGGGGTGTCACAAGTTTACTTCATTATCATTCATTGTTCGAATTTTGCATGTGAAGGTGCTCAATCAATGGACCGACAAATCCGTTGACATGTTACTTGAGCTTTTGAATAAGGCTTTTCCTATGAGCACAAAACTTCCAAGTTTATATTATCAAGCTCAGAAGGTTACTAAAGATTTGGGTTTCACATTTGAGGCTTTTGATGCTTTCCCTAATAGTTGTATGTTGTTTAGAAAAGAGGATGCAAAGCTTGATAAATGTCTTATATGTAGTGGTTCTAGATGGAAACAAAATGGTCGTGTTAGAAATGATGAAAGGGAATCTGGTAAACGGGTAGCAGCAAAACTGATAAGGTATTTCCCTTTAAAGCCAAGGTTACAAAGGTTGTTTATGTCATGGAAAATGGCAAAGCTCATGCGATGGCATGCAGAAGAACGGGGTTAATGATGGTATGTTAAGGCATCCTGCTAACTCCCTCACATGGAAAGACTTTGATCGGTGAAACACTTGTTTTGCTAGTAATAATCGTAATGTACGTCTTGGGTTGGCTACAGATGGATTCAACCGATTTAGATCAATGAACATAGTTCATAGCACTTGGCTAATTCTGTTGATTTTGTATAATTTACCATCATGGATGTGCATGAATCAACCAAATTTGATTTTGCCTGTGCTGATTGATGGGCCAAAAGGACCTGGCAATAAGATCGATGTACATTTGCAACCATAGATTAAAGAGTTGAAGGAATTATGGGATGAAAGTGAACAAACATTTGATGCATCAACCAATGAAATGTTTTAATTGCATACAGCTTTGTTATGAACAATCAGTGACTTTCTTGCCTATGCCAACTTATCAGGATGGAGTACGAAAGGTGAATATGCTTGTCTTTGCTGCAATGTGAAAACTCAATCATGTTGGTTGAAGCATGGTAGGAAGTATTCATACATGAGTCATCGTTGTTTCTTACCAGTTAATCATAAATTTCGAAAGGATAGTATCATTTGATGGTAGTCAAGAATGGAGACTAAAACCTCAAATATTATCTAGATCGGAGATGTTACCTCAGTTGGAATCAAAAGGTGTCCTTAGTTAGTACAAGCGGAATGACCTTAAGGAAATGTTCAGGAGACAAAAAGAGAGGGAAAATAAAGAAAGAATAAGCCATAATTGGAGGAAAAAAAAGTATATTCTATGAATTGCCATATTGGGAGCACAATTTAATAAAACACAATCTCAATGTGATGCACATAGAGAAAAATGTCTGCGATAATATATTGTGGACAATACTGGGAGTTGGAGGAAAATCTAAAGATAATGTGAATGCTCGACGTAATTTGCAAGAAATGAATATCAGAAAACCATTGCACTTGCAGTCAAAAGGGTCTAATAAAGTTTATGTACCTCTTGCATAATTCACAATGAGTAATGATAAGAAAGATATGTTTCTCAAAGTACTCAATGAAGTAAGAGTACCGGACGATTATGCATCCAATATCTCACGACCCATGCACTTACAAGATAGAAGTATTTAGGGTCGTAAGAGCCATGATAGACATATTTTGATGCAACAACTTATTCCTTTAGCTATACGGAGGTCGTTGCCTAAGAATGTGATTGAACCATTGATTGAGTTGAGCACTTTTTTTAGACAATTGTGCTCCAAAGTGAATTGTGCAAGTGATTTGGAATATATTCAGGATCGTATCACGGTAACTCTTTGTCATCTTGAAAAAAAAATTCCACCATCTTTCTTTGACATAATGGAACACTTGCCTATACATCTTGCTAATGAAGCTTTGATCGCTGGAGCAATACAATTTCGATGGATATACCCGATTGAAAGGTTTCTTCTTACATTGAAACAATACGTATGTAATTGAGCTCATCCAAAGGGTTTAATAGCTAAGGAGTATTTGATGGAAGAATGCATGAACTTTTGTTCTCGTTGTCTCTTTGATGTGAAAACCAAATCTAATTGACCAAGGAGAAATAATGAAAGTGATGACAACATGGGTCGAGTTGTAGGCGAAAGTACAACATTTTATCTTAATGATAATGAATTACAACAATGTCACCGATATGTGTTGTTCAACACAAGTTCAGTTGCACCATTCATAAGGTAATTTATCACTCCCCTAGTATTGTAAAATTCTAAAGTGAAATCTATACAATATTTACTATTCTCTTTCAATTTACACAGCAAACACCTAGAAGTCATTAAGAGCAAAATGCCACGTGCAAGCGATCATCAAATTCAATCTAAGCATTTCGAAACATTCCACACCTGGTTTAAAGACCATGTATGTATTTAGACATTTCATTTCACATATCTAAATATACATAAATTTTGAGTTGAAGTTGAAGTTGAAGTTGAATTTATATTTGTCTTTTTAATAGGTTCAAACCTTGTGAAGGACAAGTAATATTGCATTTACTTAAGAAATCAGTAGATTAGCAGATGGTCCTCATACTTTGGCTAGGTAGTTCAATGGTTACATTATTAATGGGTTTCGTTTTCGTATGAGACTCAAAATAGTGATATAGCTTTAAAGGCTGATACAATGAGTTATGCTAGTCGGAAGGACAAGAGTCCTCACATCAGTGTTGCGTACTACTATGGACAATTGACTGGTATTGTTAAAATCCAGTACACTAACAATATGAAATATGTGTTGTTTAAGCGTGATTGGGTTGATAACACTAGGGGGGAAATGGAAGACATTTTCAAATTCACATTAGTCAACTTCAATCGTTTGTTGTAACCAACCGATCATGTTAGCAATGAACCTTTTATATTATTATCCCAAGCCGAGCAAGTTTGGTATGTTCCTGATCCTTTGGATCCAGATTAGCAAGTTGTGGTAAAGATGTCTCAAAGAGGTTTTTTTTATATGAATTCTAATGATGACCCTCAAGTTGAACCCTATATGACTCTACATTTGGAAGACAATGCTATGCTTCGTGATGAAGAAATTGGTTAGGTGAGAGAACGAATAGAAGGAGCAACAATCGATGTTGAGAAAGAGGGTTGAACTTCGTTTGTGATTGCTTAGGTTTGTGATTGTTGAGGAAGAGGGTTGAACTATGCTCCGTGTTTCTTAGGTTTCTATTATTTGCAAATAAGAAAAGTTTAAATATTGTTAAAATGTCTTGTGCCTAATTGCTGAATTTGTGAGAAATTTATATATGTTTATATGTTGTTTTATTATCAAGTGTTCATCAACTTAGTAGTATTCCCAAAATGAGCTTGGTGCAGAGCTTCATAAAGATTTTCTTTCTTTTTATAATGAATGTTTACCTGCTATGGTGGTTGTTTTTTTATTTAATTATAATGCTGGTTCTAGTAGTTAGGATCTTAGGGGACATCGTTGTGGATTTGCATACGAATCTTTGTCCCTTCACCACCAAGAACTTCTTAAAGCTTTGCAAGTAAGCTAACCACACTATTCTTTGAAATGGCCAATGCAATTGAGAGGGAAATCACTACTTTGCAATTGGAAGTATGTTAAAGAGTTTATAGGTAATATTTCTATTGCAAGTTTTTAGTGTTTGATCTAATTATAAATTATTTGTTGATATAGGAAAAAAGCTTGTTGCGGAGATAAAGAGAACCGCTAAAATAAGAAATGAGATACATTTTGGGACGTATTTCTCTTTCTTGTTTTTATATTCAGATTTATCCTCTTATTTTTATTTATATCTGTATTCTGCAAGTAGCAACTAAAATTTCAGAATGTCAGCTAATCAGGCTTAGGCAACAAATAACAAAATTACAAACTTGTTTACAGCAAATGTCCCCAGCTAAGCGGACTGAAGAGGAAATTGAAGGGTTGACCAACTAGGTTCATTGTTTAATTTTTCCTGTTCTTCTATTGGTTTGCATCACCCATACTTCATACATATTTGATTATTGCTTTCTGAATTGTTGGTATTGTAATCTCCAACTTTGGATTGCTTGTGTTACCTAGAGCGTTGAATCAAGTTAATTTATGTTTTTTGTTACTGTTAATTGAATAACCCTGTTAGGCAGTTTATTTATTTATTTACTTGACACGTCCTAGATGAAATTGGAGTTGATGTTGCCTCTTTAGTCAGTATTTGTATAAGTTTTTTTTATGAATTTATCTTACTAGTTGATGCTATTTTTCATATATTAAATTGGTTTTGAATTTAACTTACACTCTTGATAGTTATTAGTATCACCCAAAGGAAGAATTGCTGGGAAGATGACCGAAGATGCTAATAGGTATCTTGTGTTATATTATAAGTAAATTGATATCCATATTTATTATGTATTAACATTTTCATATTTTTTTTTCATTTTAGGATGAAGCGGAAGACGAAGACCTTTATGGCCCGTTGTATTATGGATGAGGCTTTACATGTGCGAGAAACTCCCTCGCTACCTTACACTATTGATGGAGCATCTTCTCCATATGTTTCGAGGTAAACTTTACTGTTAAAATTCTATTTGTTCTGAAGCTGATTTGTATCATTTGTTTATATTTGTATCTTGTGTTTTATTATTAGTAAATTGATATCCATATTTCTTATGTATTAACCTTTTCATATTACTTTCATTTTAGGGTGAAGCGGAAGAGGAAGACCTTAAACGGCCCTTGCACTATGAATGAGGCTTTACGTGTTCCAGCAAGTCTCTCGCTACCTCGCACTATAGATGGAGCATCTTCTCCACATGTTTCGAGGTAAACTTTACTGTTAAAGTTCTATTTGTTCTGAAGCTGATTTATATCATTTGTTTATGTTTATATCTCATGTTATATTATAAGTAAATTGATATCCATATTTCTTGTGTATTAACATTTTCATATTTCTTTCATTTTAGGATGAAGTGAAAGAGGAAGACCTTTAAGGCTCCTTGCACTATGGATAAGGCTTTACGTGTGCGGACAAGTCCCTCGCTACCTCGCACTATGAATGGAGCATCTTCTTCATCTGTTTCATCTCCATATACAGTATCAACTATCTCAACACGATGAGGTCGAGGATTCGCCCGAGGGATAAAAGAATGGTGTACAGGCACTAAGATCCAAGTAAAATTTGATGATAAATTTCAGCCAATGGAGGATGATGGCAAAAAGTTGAAGGGACAATTGAGGTTGATCATGCGCAATATCTTAATTGGAATGTGATGCATGTTGATACAAAGGAGAATATTTGGCAGGAGGTGAAGGTATATCGTTTTCCCTTTTGCTAATTAGGGTTAGGGTTTATGCTTAGACTTTTTTTATTTTTTTTTCCAAGTTATTAGTTATTAGTTTTTTGATTTCTGATTTCTTGTTAATTGTATTTAGTTTTAATAGGCTGTGTGATGGTCAGTGGATTTCTAATTTTAATCATTTGCAATTAAGTTGTTGTCTAGACATTTACTTGTGCATTTGTGTATGCTCTATAATCATGAGGATGAAATTGGCTTTCA